CACAGACTTGAGATTTTATTATGCTGTTTACAGACCAGGGGCCCCCTCTTCCTCTGGCCAGGTTGCTATTCTCTTCTCCTTAAGAGCAATGGCCACTTTTGACTTGCCTGAGGGACCTCTGTGCCTCCTCGGGCATTCTGGCCGAATCCCTGTCCTCCAGAACAACAGTAAAAGGCCGTCGCACCTTTAAGACTAACAAACTTTATTGTAGCATAAGCTTTAAGTACACTTTTAGTCTAGGTGCTACTGGGTTTTTTATTGTTTTACAGCAACTGACTAACACGGCCAACTCCTCTGGATCTAGTTCCAGAAGAACCGTCTCTGTAAACTGGTTACCCAGCTTCCATACCGAGAATGTCTAATTCTCTACTCAAGTCGTGTCTCTGGTTTTCACACGAGGAGATCTCTCTCCACTCCGTGAATAGGTGAGGTTCCGACACACTTCTCCAGCCTCAGTCTGTGACGCGCAGAGAGGCCAGAACACGCCTGCTGTGCTCCAGACGGGGCTTAGCGGACCCTTTTCCTCTTCAGAGTCTCACTCGGAGTCTCCTGCTAACTCTCTTCCCTGGCTCCCACTCAGGACGGATCCACACCAACCCCGTCCAAGCTGAACTTCGTCAAACAGCTCAGTGTTCCATTCCACAGTAAACAGGATGAACTCCGTGAGCTGTCAGTCATTTTCAACTAGCGCTCCCTTTTACAAGCAGCATGGCCTAAAAGCCTGCAACGGCTTGCTGCCCATCACAAGAGCGCAAGAGAGCCGAGGGAGGAAAGCGAGCGGGCAGGGGAGGGAGGCTGCCAGCAGCTCTGCTGAGTCCAGCAGGGAAACACACTCCAGCTTCCCACCCCTCCCCTGCTGGACGGACAGATTGACCCCCAAGCAGCAGCCGCCACCCAGGAGGGCAAGGAGGCAGAGAGTGGTCAGCGAGGGGAGGGAGAGGACAGGGCGAGCGCCAGTAGTGGCCCTCGGCTCAGCGAGCGAGCGACAGTGGTGGGACTGGGTGTGGGGAGGGTGATGGCTGCCCTCACCCCACCTCTGCGAGGTGCGCCGGGAGCGCCAATGGCAGGCCCCACGGCCTAGCCCGGCGACCTGCGGCACTGATAGAAGAGGCCTGTCTCCCTCCCCTCGGCCAGCAGAAGCGGCAGTGAAGTCGTGGTTTCCTTTGGTTCGCCTGTGGTAACACTCCACACCTTTTCCCAGGTGCCCCCCCTTAGGCTGTGCCACTGGAAGGAGGAGCGGCATTGACGATGGCAGCGCAGGGTTCCCCCTCAGTCACCTGCAGGAGCTGTATTGACTAGCCTTGGTGACCAGGCAAAGAGAGATGCACAATGGTGCAGATGTTGGCCCACGCCTGTTTCCTTCTCCCGCCGGGGCCCAAAAATTCCCTAACTTTCCCCCATGCTGGTCTGATGGGGACTGTTATTCCCAGCTTTGGTCTTTTAAAAAAAGTCTCCTTCTAGCATGGTTGTGTTGTAAAGTGCACACATGTGCATTTTATCTTTTTGTGCAAGGAAAGTATTGAGATTTTTAAATAAAAACGTGCAGGGCCGGCCCAAGGCTTTTTTGGGCACTAGGCGAGGCTAGCTTGTAGCGCCCCCCCCAAAGGCGAGGCTGGCGTGGCGGAGAGGAGGCTGGGAACTCCTTTCCCTGGGCAGCAAATAGAGGCAGCGGGGGCCAGGGCGCATGGTGTGAGCTTTTGGCGGGGGCAGGGGGGAGGGTGGCTCAGTCCGGCGCCCCCATGATGGCCCCGCGCTCTAGGCGAGAGTTTAGCTGGCCTAGTGAGCAAGCCGGCCCTGAAAATGTGTAATATTTGTTCATGTCTTGCAGCTCTCAAACGTCTGATGTTGCTTCTGCGTGTCTCTTACATTAAGCGAGTTCGGCCAACCCTGACCTGGAGCCTGTTCCCTTTCCCATCAGACCCCCCCCCTTACTGAAGGGATGCCACTCCTGCAGGTGCTCAGGAGGCCGTTCAGTTAGTAAGGGTTTTGACAAGGGGGGGGGCTGTGCGGCATGTTTTGAATCTGAACCAGGGAAGCCACCTTCAGCTACGTGGGACATGTGGGGTGTTGAATGGTAACCAAGCAGTGCCCTGTGAGGTCAGACAGCTGTGAGGCTCAGGGACACCTGTAAGTTTCGGGGGTGGGGTGGGGGGCATCTGAAGTCGCCCCTTCCCTGGGGGGGAAGCAAGCACTGAACTGCTCATCCAAAGCAGCAACCCTCCTGCACTTTGTTCCGGCTCCTTCTAGGACATGTACAAAGTGCAATTGCTCAGCTCCTCTCTTTCCTGCCCAAGCTCAGCTCACCTTGGCTGGAACCCCCTGCTCTCACCAGAATCGGCAGGGGGTCATCATCCTCACTAGGGGACTTTAACTGGAAAAAGCTACTGATCCACTGCCTTGTCCAAATGCGGGGGGTGGGTGGGTGCAGGCGCTTCCCTGGCAATGGCTCGTCTCCTTCCTCCACGGTCAGTCGGGGGACAAAGGGTGGCGCTCGGGGATCAGATGTCCCGAAGGCACCCACTGACCTGCGGTGTGCCTCAAGGGGCAGTACTCTCCCCGATGTTATTCAACATCTACATGCGCCCCCTTGCCCAGAGGCACGGGCTGGGGTGTCACCAATATGCGGATGACACCCAGCTGTATCTGTCCTTGGGCAGCCAGTCCGACTATACCCCAGAAGATCTGAACCGGGCGCTGCAGGATGTGGCGGGCTGGCTTAGACTGAGCCAACTGAAATTGAATCCGATGAAGATGGAGGCCCTGTGCCTGAGTCGGAGCAGACGAGGGGTAGGGATCCCACTAACGGCATTCGATGGGGCACCGTTAGTGCCAGCGCTGAGGATGAGGAGTTTGGGAGTGCTCTTGGATGCCTCCTTAATGAGGGAGGCCCAGGTAGCAACCACTGCCAAGGCAGCCTTCTACCATCTTTGGCTTAGGCAGTTGGTTCCCTTCCTCGAACGCAATGATCTGGTGACAGTGATCCACGCTATGGTCACCTCAAGATTAGACTACTGCAATGCTCTCTTCATGGGGCTGCCCTTGTTGCAACTCTGGAAGCTGCAGCTGGTGCAAAATGCAGCAGCCAGGCTGTTGATGGGTCTCCCTATGCAGGAGCACATCCAGCCTGTGCTAAAGGCACTGCACTGGCTGCCAACAGCTTACCAGATTCACTTCAAGGTGCTGTTCTTGACCTTTAAAGCCCTCTATGGCCTGGGGACTGCCTACCTGGGGGACTGCCTTTCCCCGCATGTCCGCCAGAGAGCACTGAGGTCAGGGTCTCAAAACCGTTTGGCCCTCCCTGGACTGAAAGTGGTGGAATAAGCTGCCGGAAGACATCAGGGCCCTGCGGGACCTTTTACAGTTCCACAGGGCCTGTAAAATGGAGCTCTTCCACCAGACCTTTGATTAGGAGCCGCCACTAACAACATTAACAACTGTAACAGTATTAACTGGACCCTCAAGGCCCTTTCTGTTAACACCAATTGCCTGTTATGACAGTTAACTGACAGCAGCCATACTTCGGACCATCCTCTCATGGCCACCAGCACTTCACTTTATCTTGCACTGTGATTTGCTATAGTTTTGTATTTTATGGTGCTGTAGTGTGTTAATAAGCACTTGTGCTTTTAATATATTTTTAACCGTTCAACGTAAGCCGCCCTGAGCCTGCCACGGCAGGGAGGGCGGTGTTATGTACTGATACTGTGATGTGAATCGCCTAATCCACCTCCTATGTTAAGCTTCCAGCCGGCCGAGGCTCCAACAGCACTAATAAATTATTGGTCGCTTCGGAACAGTGACCAATCACAGAACGGCTATTCCCCGAGCGGGAAGAGTTTCCATTGGACCTTATCCTTGCAATCTTATTGGTTGTTATGTATATAGTAGGTGTGGCTATGTTAGCCCGGGAATGTTTAAAAGGAGCCCAGCTCCCTATGTTTGTTGTTTTGGTTATTAACTGCGTTTTGAGTGCTTGTTCGTTCCTTCATTAAAGCTGAATCACTTGCTGAAATTACTCTCCGTGTCTTTGTTAGTGCGATCTAACAATTGGCGACGAGGATGGGATGTTAGAGCAGGTAGGCAGCCCTGCTAACACTCCCACGACCGAAGGAAACAAGCAAGGCACAGCGGCCCATCCAGCGGAGGTGCCATCAGCGCCGGTGCCCAAGCCTACCGGGATGGCCGATAACCAGAAGTTCGAATCGTTTGAACCTGCAACTGAAGACTGGGACTTGTACCTCGCAAGGTTTGAGTTCCACTTAGAAACCAATGATATCACAGACGAGGCTAAGAAGAGGGCATGCCTGCTGAGTTGCTGCGGGAAAGGCACCTTCGACATCGCCAGGTCATTGGTTGCTCCAACTGACATAAAGACCGTGTCCTTCACAGATCTCACCAAGAAGCTGAAGGCACACTTCTCCCCTCAGCCATCTGAAATCGCCTGCAGACATGCTTTTTACAAGCGGAACCAGGCAGCTGGGGAAAGCATCGCAGAGTTCGTGGCGGCCCTACGAAAGGCAGCGCGGCCGTGCAACTTCGCGGATGTTGAGAACACCCTCAGGGACTGGCTCGTGTGTGGCCTTCGGGACGAGAGGCTACAGCAACGCTTGTTCGCTCGCACTACCCTGACCTGGGCAGTGGCTTACGAGGAGGCTGTCGTGGCGGAGGCAGCAGACAGGTCCACCAAAGAGGTCCAGCAGCACCTAGCGTCCACAGAGCAGCGCGTACACTTCCAGTGTCAGGACAAAGAGGGCGTTGATGCGCTTGAGGATGTCAACGCAGTCCGAGACAAGCGGACCCAAATGAAACCAGCCGTAAGCAGAGCCTGCTCGGGTTGTGGCGGGAAACACCAGCGCGACACCTGTTGGGCCTGAGACCTGGAGTGCACAGTGTGCGGACGGCGTGGGCACATTGCAAGAGCCTGCAGGTCAACAAAGAAGACTTCGGCACCCGTCAACCGAGACAGACAATGACCCCCAACCCACGAGGCAAACTGCCAGATGACGACCACAGTGACCAACGCATCGTCAGTTTGTCATACCAGCTGCACAGGCAAGATCACTGTCACCCTGCTCCTTGACGGCCAGCCCTGTTCAATGGAAGTCAATTCCAGGTCATCGGTCACCGTCATCTCTTCAGAGTCCTGGCAGCGGCGAAGTAGGCGGCGGTTGCAGCATGCGGACACGCGGGTGTCCAACTTCCAGGGCAGAATCCCGTTGGCCAGCAAAGACACTGTCAATGTTGAGTATAAGGGGAAATGTGTTAAACTATCGTTTTTAGTAGCAGAAGGGGATCATGTAAATCTTTTGGGGTTAGATTGGTTTAAACCTCTGGGCATTGGAATAGTTGGAGTCAATGCAATGTCTGAAAATAAATGGGATATGCTTTATGATGATTTCCCTACGGTATTTGGGGACGGGTTGGGGAGGTACAACGGTCCCCCCATTTCTTTTGACCTAGATCCAACTGTGACCCCTATAAGGTTGAAGTACAGAAAGGTACCCATATCGATAAGGCCCTGAGTTGAGAAAGAGCTAGACAAGCTCATTGCGCAAGGGGTTCTAGAACCTGTACCGCACAGCAAATGGGAGACCCCCATAGTAACGCCAATCAAACCAGACGGATCTGTGTGAATATGTGCAGATTATAAATGCACGTTAAATAAAGCATTGCAACAGCACTCATATCCAGTGCCGGTAATAAGCCACATCCTGGCTTCCCTGGGGGGAGGTAAAGTCTTTGCAAAACTTGACCTGGCCCAGGCGTACCAGCAGCTGCCTGTCATCCCAGAGGCTGCTGAAGCCCAAACCATTATGACTCATAGGGGGGCTTTTAAAGTAAACAGGCTCCAGTTTGGAGTTAACGTAGCACCAGGAATATTTCAGAGCCTAATGGAACGTCTATTAAGGGGGTTGCCGGGCAGAGTGCCTTATTTCGACGATGTTTTGATTGCGGGGAGGTCTGAACAAGAGTTGCTGGACAGAGTAACAGAGGTGTTGAAACGCTTTCAAAATGCTGGGCTACGGGTAAAACGCTCAAAATGTACATTGGGCGTTGATAGCGTGGATTTTCTAGGATTCCGCATTGACGCGGAAGGGGTGCACCCCACAAGCGAAAAAACTGAGGCCATTAAAAATGCTCCAACACCAGTAAATAAGAAGGAGCTGCAAGCGTTCCTTGGTTTGCTAAATTTCTATCACGTGTTTTTACTGCATAAGGCATCAGTGGCAGCACCCTTGCACGCACTTTTACACAAAGAGGCGAAGTGGACATGGGGACAAGCCGAAGAAAAGGCTTTTGCAGGAGTAAAAGCACTGTTAACTTCCAACGCTGTTTTGACTCACTACGATGAGCAAAAACTCCTGATCTTGGCTGCAGACGCTTCGCCTTTTGGGGTAGGCGCCGTTTTGAGCCACCTGATGCCGGATGGAAGCGAGGCGCCTATCGCTTTCTATTCAAGGTCTCTGTCTGCGGCAGAAAGGAACTATGCCCAGATAGACAAGGAAGGGTTGGCATTAGTAGTGGCTGTCAAAAAGTTCCATGATTTTGTTTTTGGCAGAAAGTTTGTGTTGGTCACAGACCACAAGCCGCTACTTGGGATTTTTGCGCCCGATAAGCAGCTGCCTAATATCATGTCCCCGAGAATGCTTAGGTGGGCGTTGTTTTTGCAGGCATACGATTTTGATCTGGAACACCGGCCGGGAAAGGGCATAGGGCATGCTGACGCACTTAGCTGCTGTCCCTTACCTAACCAAGGAACAGACCCAGCCCCGGCATGTGAAGTCTTGGCCATAGATGAACTCCCTCAGGCACCAGTCTCTTCTAAGGATATTGCTGCACTCACTACAAAGGATTGCGTCTTATCCCGTGTGCTTAACTGGGTGTGGAGGGGGTGGCCAATGGGCAGCATGGAACCCAACCATACAAGGGCCGCCAAGCAGAATTGTCTATTTCAAAAGTTTGTATCCTGTGGGGGAACAGAGTTATAGTCCCTGACAAGCTTAGGCACAGAGTGTTGCAGTCCTTGCACGATGGGCACCCGGGAATGGTACACATGAAGGCCCTAGCAAGAGGCTATGTGTGGTGGCCCAGAATTGATAAGGACATAGAGGAATGGGTACAGGTTTGCAATCAGTGCCAACAAAGCAGGCCAGAACCGCCTCCAGCCCCACCACAAAAATGGGAATCAACAGGTAAACCATGGTCAAGACTTCACATGGATTTCGCTGGCCCTGTACAGGGGCAAATGTTTCTTATTGTTGTGGACGCTTGGTCTAAATGGCTTGAAGTAGTGCACATGCATTCGACCACTTCCCTCACAGTCATACATACGCTAAGGAGGCTGTTCGCAACCCATGGGCTGCCAGACACACTGGTCAGCGACAACGGCCCTCAGTTCGTATCGGATGAGTTTAAACAGTTTCTCACTGATAACGGCATTCGCCAAATTACCGCTGCCCCCTTTCACCCGGCTTCCAATGGTCAGGCCGAGAGAATGGTACGCACGACTAAGGAAGCCCTGGGAAGGTTTACCGAGGGGGACTGGAGTGTGCGGTTGGGGTCCTTCCTTTTGCGGCAGCACACCACTCCCTGTAGTGCCACGGGTCGTAGTCCAGCCGAATTACTCATGGGCAGACGCCTCACTACCCGTTTAAATCGGCTGCACCCTGATCTCACTGATCAAGAGCCCGAGCGCAAGGAGACGTCTCCTGGCCCCCCGGGGTAGTGTGTGAGAGTATAGGCTCGCGTATGTACATAATACAACTGACCGATGGTAGAAAGTTTAAAAGGAGCCCAGCCCCCTATGTTTGTTGTTCTGGTTATTAACTGCGTTTTGAGTGCTTGTTCGTTCCTTCATTAAAGCTGAATCACTTGCTGAAACCACTCTCTGAGTCTTTGTTAGTGCGATCTAACAGGCGGGATAAAAACTGAAATAAATAAAAAAAAATTAGTAAGTGATGGTGCAGGTTGAACTCCCCCTTCCCCAATGACAAACAGTCCATTCCAATGTCTGACCTTGACCGGTTCCATTGTTCAAATCCACAGCAGAAGGTAACACAAACAGGAGCGATATTCCTGGCACTCATTCCATCCTGTAGCGCACACACATACCACTGTGGTGCATTATTAAGGAATTTAGCCGTCTGGATCAGAACAGCACCCAGTTCCACGGTGCGCCCAACCAGGTGCCCAGCAGGAGGGCCAATCCAACATACACACACACCCCCCCACCGGTGCGCGGAGGTTTGCTGCCTCTGGCCCTGGAGGCTCCCTTCAATCACCAGGGCGAGGAGCCAGGGATGGGCCTGCGTCTGTGGCCGTGGAGTGGCGGGGAACCCCTCCGGCTTGTCCAGAAATGCAGGTCAGTGCAAACTGAGGGGCACTGAAAACAACCATCCCCCACATTGCCTCTGTGCGTGCTGCTGACCAAGGTCTGGGAGAGCGGCGGGCCAGGAGGTCGCGGGGCTCCGGTGGCGGGGAGAGCAGGAGGGGCCCGGCCTTGTGCTTCTTCTTCGTAGGCAGGAGCCGCGATGCGACCGGGGCAAAAGAATCCCCCCCC